GAGCGACAGTGTTCAGATTTAAAAGTGATGTTCAATAAAATTACAGCTCGCGAGCCGGGGCCGACTATATAGAATTTATGACCCAAAACGTCCAAAGAGTGGATGATAAAATCAAGTTCACATGAACTGAACTAGTCATCAGCTCCAGTTCACATGAACGTTCACATGAACTGAACTGGTCATCAGCCCCAGTTCTGTTTTAGCTGATGGTGGTGCAAGGTTACAAGTATTGGGTACAGTGGAATTACAAATTAAAGTAAAAAATATACCCACAACAGTGACGGCATTAGTAACATCAAGTTTATGTACTACAATAATTATAGGATCGGATTGGTTAAGTGAATATAATGCCAATATTGATTAACAAGAACTATCACAGTTAAACAATTACATCGTTATGCATCAATACAAATGAAAACTGCTGATGATAACATGTCATACCCAGCGCGATTAAAGAAAGAGATAAAAATACCTTCAGGACATGAAATCGTTGTAACTGCATGGGTAGGTATACAATCATGTAAGTCAGCAGTATTTCAACCAGATCTTAGAATGTTATATAAACGAAATTTATTAATACCAAATGCGTTGGTTGAAATACAAAGTTATAAAATGTTAAGCACAATTAGAAACCCAAATAAATATTCGATTATGTTACAAACAAATACACAATTAGGAGAAATATTCCGTATGACATCGAGAGCAAAGATATTTGCTCTGTCATCCAATCAACTGTGCCAACAATCAAATATAGACAAGAAAATACCGTTACATATTAGTATTGCATTTGATGCATTATTAAAACATATCGACGATAACAGACAAAGGCAGCAAGTTCAAGACATATTAAATAGGCATTATCATATATTTGATATTTCAAGACCATCAATAGCAAAAACGAATATCAAACATACCATAAGAACTGGAAACGCAGGACCAATAAATTCACGACCATTTCCAATGAATTTAAGTCAACAGAAAGAAATAACAAAGATCACCAATGAAATGTTAGCATCGAAGCAAGTCCGACCGTCAAACTCTCCATGGTCATCACCGGTATTATTGGTAAAGAAAAAGGATGGTACGGTACGTTTTGTTGTCGATTATCGGAAACTAAATAATGTTACCACAAAAGATACGTATCCGATACCGAATATAGAACAAACATTAAATCGTTTAAATAGAAATAAATATTTTACTAAATTGGATTTAAAAAGTGGCTATTATCAAATACCCATACAGGAGCAGGACAAACAAAAAACAGCATTTATAACGACAACTGGGCTGTACGAGTTCAATGTAATACCAAAAAAAATTCTTCTCCTACTTTTCAACGTATTATAAATACCTCATCGCAAATTCAAGATGGGAATATTGTTTGGTATACATAGATGATATTATAATTTTTTCAAAGTCTTTTAAGGATCATATTAAACATATTGAGGAAGTACTTGTGGTGTTGAAAGAAGCAAATTTACAACTAAATCCACCAAAATGTTCATTATTTAAGCAAGAAATGGATTACTTGGGTCACACTGTCACTGATGAAGATCTTAAACCATTGGTCGGGTTGATCGCTGGTCATTGGAATTAGCCGAATATGATATAACCGAAATTAAATATAAAAAAGGGAAATGTCATTGTGATCCAGATTTATTATCAAGATATATGAAAATCGAATTATTCGATCAAGAAAATGACGCACGATTACTGAAACAAAGTAACGATAGTCAACAACAGCAAGATGTACAATAAATACAACAACAATGTAATGTAATAACACGAGCTAGAGTAAATAACACAGCACAGTCAGCAATACTGCCAATAAAAAGACCCATGACAAGACTACAAGCCAAACAATTGAATATCAAATCAACAACAATAGCAGATACACGTAAAATGACAAGTATGAAACTGATTCTGGAGCAAACGATCCCATGAAGTTATCGAATTTGTTAATCGATTTTGACATGGATAGAATTAAGCAAGCACAAACAAATGATATAATTATACAAGAAAAAATTGAGAAAATGAAAAATGCAATGCATAAATCAGATATGACAGTAGTTGATGATGTACTTTATAAATTAGTAATCAGAAATGGTGCCAAAAAGAAGATTAAGTTGCCATGCATTCCACATGCAATGATTCAAGAACTATTACAGGCATTT